TCCAGGACGCGCGTTTCGTCCTGTTTGGGACTCGTCAGCTGGACGTACCTGCATCTCAGAGTTGATGTTCACTCTGGGACTCGAACTCAGTACCGTTCGCTTCAAACGCCATTGCGTTATCCACTTAGCTACTGAGTCCTGATAGCCACTTGCTTGTGCAATGGGTTGAAGTTGAATTCACTTGATATTGTTTTACTTGAATCTTCCCATTGATGTTTTTCGACTGAAATTGATCAGTCTCAATATAAGTGACTTTTAATAAATTAATTGGTCATCATCATTGATAATAGAAGTAACATGATGTGGTAATAAATAAGAAAATGATCTGAATAATAATGAGAACTAATATTTGAGGAGGAGGTTTGCTTTTTGGCTTTCAAAAAATTGAAATGATCACCGTTTAATTAAAAACTATTCTCTGTGTCGATTTCATATTCATCAAAGTGTTTTGAATACATTCATTCAATAATAAAATACATCAACAATTACACTTCAAATTCATTTTTATATAGGCGTCCTGTTTGAATATATGGGCTACCTGTTTCCTGTCATTTACATATTTTAACAACTTATCTAACTTTTGTTTGTTTCAATTGATCATTATGTCAATTAATTGCACAACCTATTCAGATACGTTTGTGAAAAGTTCTTTACTTTTTACTGTACAAGTTAAGAAAGAGCACAATCAGAGATATTATGGTTGCTTGGATGACACATCGAAAAGAATATACATTATTTAGATGTGGATTCCTGAACTGCTAACATCTAAGTGGCGATCACTCAATATTTATCGTCAGTATCGATCAAGAAATAGGAAATGGTAACTTGTCGAAGTACTATGTACTGAGAATTCAATATTGTACCAAAAATCTAATATTGAATAATAATAATAATAATAATAATAATAATAATTTTAATTCTGACTATTGTACACAATTAAATAAGGTTGATGCTGATGACCTGAATAAGGAAACTCACTGATAATGATTAAGTGGTTTAACATTGAATGAAATGAATGTGAATTAGTTAATCTATATATAGTTGAATAAATTAAATTTTCTGATAAGATTAACAGCATAATTGAATGGTGATAGTGATGATGTGGAGGAGTTTAATTACACTTATTTGAATAGTTGATAATGAATGATGTTGTATAGAGAGAAATGAAATTTACTGACCATAATGTAATCGGTAATCAAGATTGAATGATTTTTATTCCTATGACGACATAGAAATTGAGTTGTTTGTTACCCGTTTAAACAAATGGTGTTTGTGCATGTTTTCAGATCATGAGTTCATTAACTTTCATATAACACTATTAATTATACATAAGAAATAATATTGTTAAACAATTTTATATGATAGTTTAATTCATGAGTCAAATGATGCTAGACCACTATGGAAAATGTGAAAGCACTGGACGACCATTTCTTCTTATTGTGGGACTCCTCAGCAGTGCACATTCACGATCCTGTATTCGGGACTCGAACTCACGAACCCACGAATGCCTAATCTGTAGACTACTGAGCCGGCATCCAACTGTGTTAATTTATAACTTCAACCAATTCACGATAATAAGTCACTATCTTACAACAGACCTGGTTGAACTCCATTGGTCACGTCATCTCACTGGAACCCCAGGAAATCCCACTTGAAGTCAGTCACTAGTGAGTAGATGATGATTATTATCGGAAGGAGGTTTCATGGAGACTGTAGTAATTTAACAGTTGAATTCATGAGCCAATCAAATGTAGTCCTGTGTTGAAATCCCGTGAGCGGAATCGCGGATTCATGAATTCAATTACTGAATTACTAAAATCTCGACAAACCCCTCTTCTGAAAATAATTTTATCTTGGATATCATTAAATTTCTTCATATTTTTTCTTACAATCAATGTTATTGACTTCACTTTATTCCTAAATGTTTATCAAATGATGGTTTTAAGTATCTATTGTTGAGTTCCTGAGAATATAATAGATTACTGGTATGGTAAGTTTACACAACATGTTAAATGTATGTACATGAAAAAATACAATCATTCTTTATACTTTTCATTAAACAAATAAAAAAGGACTAAAATATATATAATCACTAACTTCTTATCTAGTCAATAAATTCCAGTAGATATTTATGTTTTGGGTAAAATGTGGATTCTGGGATTTGACCGAAAAAAAAACGTTATGTGAATGAATTTGTTGTGATCTACTTTTATGAAGAGAATGTGATTGGTGTAATGGAAACATTTATTATTATAGCCAACTTTACCAGTGATTGTTTTACTGTATCTTTTTGTTTAATTGTACCAAAAACACCCTTTTTCCGTTGTTTATGACTTTGAACTTACGTACGCACGGTAGTCTCGTCTGTAAACTTTGGCACGATCTCGGTATTATTTCGATACCACGAGATCACCAACAAACATATCTTAACTATAATCTACAACTGTCCTTCTAATATTTATCCTACGGAGGGATTTTACCTGGTAATTAGCACGTAATCGATCTATAGTGGTGATCATAGTCAACTGCGACTCGACACTACCACAAATTAAACATATAATACTAGTTAATTCATATACTTTTACAAGGTTCATATGCAGTCAATAGTTAATTTGGTTATTTTATGAATTAATCTACAATTTATTGTCAGTTTAAGTTATAAACTAGATCTTTTAATTCATTAAACTTTACATTGTCAAACACTGAATTCTTTTTCAAATAATGTTGATTATTGTAGAGATTTTAATTATTGAATTTGGGAATAGTACTTCTTTATTTTACCTCGATGTTTAAATTCAAAAGAAGGGAACATAAGTTCAATATCATTGAATAACTTATCAAGTTGACGAAGATTAAACTTTCTCAAATATGTGTTATTTCACTAATGCTCATTTTTGAAGATCATCAAATCAGAATAAAGCGTTTCAACACATTATGGTTCTCAATTGTATTCCATTTCGTTTTGAGATGATGATTATTGTCTTCTAAGTGAACACTATTGCACAAACAATTAATACTATGAGCTTAGTATTTATGTGTTAATATTATTGTCAATCGTTTTTCTTTAAAAAGCACTACAATATATATATATGAGGCTCAGTATATCATTTATTTAATAGGTTACTTACGTACGCCTGTTACCCCCGTTGAAGAGCATAGACCGCCCATCAGCATTCTACATCCAACTCTCTACTCAAAAATCCTTTCCAGTTATTTTCAGTTGTTATTCATCCTTTTCATGTCTGCTTCCGATTCCCGACGTAGTCCGTTCCTCGGCCTTATATTTCTCCGTTTCTATTCACGATTACAAGTTGGAGCTTGCTTCATGATGCAGTTTGATAATTTCCGTAATGTGTGTCCTATCCACTTCGAATATCTTTTCCTAATTACCTCTTCATCTGGGAGTTGGTTTTCGTCTCCCACAGAAGGCTGTTGCTGATGGTATCCAGCCAACGGAAGCTGAGTATCTCGCATTGACAACTGTTTATAAACACTTGTACATTTTTGATGATGGTGTTGGGGATGCTAGACTCTCAGAACTCACTTAGTAAATACCTTATTTTTGTAATTTTATTTTGAAAATTCGAATTTCTTTGGTTTCGCGCCAGAAGCGCTCTTTTCACCTTCATGTCGTATTTCCCACTTGGGAGAATCTTAAACGTTATTGGTTCGTTGTATCTTTTAGTATGCTACTTTGTAACGCTTCTCAGGGATAGTTTTATGCCGTATATATACGTTTGATTTGTGCCTGTTGTCTTCCCTCGTGCTTCTGGCTGCTTGCGGAATATATTTCCTTGTTTGGACTTGGACTTCTCTCTCTAGTTAGCGGGGGTTAGACACATCAGGAGCTTATTGGTCTTGGGTCACAGAGTCTTTGTTCCGTTTGCAGACTAGATGAACTCGTAATCACTTCAAACACAGCAGATGGTTGTGGTAGTTTTCTAAGTTTCCGCTTTGTATAGTAGAACTGTGTTGATGTTCGTATTGAAGATAGTGACTTTGATATTAGTTGGCTGACAGGTCATTTGAGTGCCGTATGTTCTTCAAATGTAGAAATGCTGTTTTTGCTTTGTCAATTGTTGCCTTTACGTCTGTATTCGATCTCCATCGTTCAGACTAGTACAAAAAACTAAATAAAAATGAGTTTCTAAATATTTCATATCTAACAGTTGATTTTGAAGAAACATATTCTTTCCAAGTTATAAATATAATAATTTAAATTACCGATCCATAGTGTTATAAACATTTACTCAATATCTTCTAAAAGTGATTACTTTACTGAAACGTTAATTTCAATGCATGTTTTCCGTTTAATATTTCCTTCATCCTACTATCATATCGTTCTAATTATCCTATATTTAGGTGATGTTTCTAATAAGTCTATTTATTCTATACACAACTTCTTCAGTCTGGATTACGTAACACTGTGATATATTTCAGTCTGTTTAATAAATTTCATTTACCTGATTCAGAGTATCAGCAGCTTATGAGAATCTACTGAATTATTATTCTTTGATAATCTTGTGAAGAGAATCACCCAAAAGATCACTAAATAATTGGTTTAAAAACATTTTCACTGCCTTATTTATCACCCAAAAAAATACAAACAATTAATCCATCCCGTAGCCATGAGATCTAGAGCTTGTTCAAAAGAAGAAATTTTAACCAAACAAATTTAAATCATTTAGGGCGTTATCAAGTAAAGGAACAAACAAAACCTAATGGGTCAGTGAATAATATTTAATGACCATTCAATGTAAAAATTTCTTTTCAATTACACTATTTAAACTGTACATTCGCATTTATAGTTTATTGGAACATATTAGTCTATAATAAAACTTGTAGTGTCGGTTGCTATGTCGAGCTTACATTCCTTATTCTACTTTCCGGACAGGCCAATTTATCCATTTTTTCTCAAGCTACATTTTGACCTTGTCACTTATTCGCTTATCAACTTTGACTGCTTTTATATAAGCGTATGTGTGTACATCTCTTATCTTACTCATCACACGTCTGTAACTTATTTTTGTCTAACTTAAACATAGATTCACGCTTGGTTAAATCGATTCGGCTCACATGCCTTCTCCATTGCGCGTCACTTCGCTTCGCTCCTCTGATTGTTTGTCTAGATCAATCAATGTACAAAATATACGTATTCAAAAATCCATTCCCGTATTTGACTTATTTAATTCTGTTATTCAGTAACGTGGTTCAAGTTGATGATTATATACGACGATTGGCGACATGTATAATTCAATCAGATCTCGAAAAACGAACAACTGATGCTTATTGTATCTCATAAAAAATGATCAGAAATGTTTTCAAGTATCGAAATGAATTGTACTCCCAGATGAAGAGGTAATTAGGAAAAGATATTCGAAGTGGATAGGACACACATTACGGAAATTATCAAACTGCATCACGAAGCAAGCTCCAACTTGTAATCGTGAATAGAAACGGAGAAATATAAGGCCGAGGAACGGACTACGTCGGGAATCGGAAGCAGACATGAAAAGGATGAATAACAACTGAAAATAACTGGAAAGGATTTTTGAGTAGAGAGTTGGATGTAGAATGCTGATGGGTGATCTATTCTTCTTGACGAGAGGTAACTGGTGTAAGTAGATTTTGTATTGGTCACAATGAAATACTTGAAAATAAATCACATCAAATTTGGTCATATTCATTAAAGTTGATACATTTTTATCTACTTCACAACTAAGTTTAAAAGAACAGACTACACTTATATATGTTAGAACTATTTTTGTGCAAAAGAAAATAAAAGAAGTTACATATTCTAGTGAATCATTGTATTCTGTTGGAATATGAACGTAGCTTTGCCATATTTTCTTTATTCATATTTGATATGCGCTGCTTATTGCTAATCCCGTTTCTATAATTTGGTAACTGTGATCAAATTTCTTGTACTACATTTAATATAGATCCATAAACAAACCTCGACTATTATGATTTGTTATCTTTTATGGATAGATTAATTGTGGTAATCTGATATTTGAATTGGTGAAATAATCCTCAGATTATTTTTTGAGTGAAATTGAATTAATCTCTGATACCATTAAAAGTAGTATTTACATAGATATTGAAAAATATTTATTATCAATTGACTTAATCGTTTATTATCTTTTGATTAGCCAACAATTCGTCTTTGTTCATCATAACTTAATTAATTAGTCACTATGTGATAAATAAAACTACTCAATAATAACCTGCATTATTGGTGATGACGTAGTCATTATTTGCCTAGAAATTATATATTGTTCTTATTATATGATTAGCTTAAGAAGTCCAAGAATTTTTATTTATATCCTGAATTTTTCTATATGTGAATTTACTGGGTAATTCTTTATAAATTTGTCTAAATTTTCATCTTGGAATGGATCTATTTTCGAAATTGATCACTTCTAAATTTAGGTAGTGAACGGTCATATTTTACTTATATAAATGTCCTTAAAATAAATAAAGCTTTCCGAATAGTATTAATGTTTTACAGCTGGGCTGGTCAGAGAAAGGTATCTACCTTAGTACAATGGAAGATGGTCGCGCAATTTCGTGGATTAATTGAAGTTAGACATTAACACTATTAGATGCCGGCCAGCTCAGTGTTCTAGAGGTTGAGCAGTTGGGCACGAGACTGAAGGCCCTTGGTTCATATTTCGTGAGCGGGATCGTGGATGCTCACTGCTGAAGAGTCCCATAATAGGATGAAACAGATGTCCAGTGCTTCCAGGTTTTCAATGGTGGTCTAACATCAATCGGTTCATGATCTCAATTAAAAACTTAATAATCTCCACAACCACATACTGATAGATACATTTATAGTAAATATATTGATTTTCATTTCAAGTCTTAAATCCATAGAGAGTTACTGAATGATTCTTGCCAAAATTTACTGTTAAACTTTGGGCAACTTAAAAGTTCACTTTTCGAACACTGCTTACTTATAATATGCACACTTTTCTGGGAAGACACTATTAATGATAATATTATCGTAATGAACAATATTGAATATATATTGTTTATAGCGGCAATAGTGTATTCGGATATCATAGATTATAATTTAGCAATTATTCTAAAATTCTAATATTCACTGTATCAAAGTTGATACAGTTTGTACCGATTAATTACCAAGGTGACCTCTTCCAACATTTCAAATAAATACATCACTTAAAGCACAAATAAACATAATTTAACTTATGTTTTATCATGGTTGGCAATTAACCAATCAAATATTTCTTTTTCATCATCCAATCATATTAATTTCCCATGTAAAAAATCTATAAAAACATAAATATTATCAACTATTTAAATGAATAAAATGAATTGTTCATCTTCTGAGAAAGATCGTGTTGACGTACTTTATATTCACTAGTTTCTTCATTTGAACATATCAGTTTCATAACATATATTGTTGTAATTATATGGACAGATAAAAAAAACACATTTTTGATTAGTTGCTTATTCATAAACAAAACCAATATAATTGAAATATTCGAACTGGACTTTTAATGATAAAACGATTTTCGTCATATAATTTTCAGTTTCAATTAAGAATATACGTACTATTATCACTGTCATGGTTTGATAATTTAAATGGCGATGATTCAACAGTCAGTGTATTTAAATCACAATCTATCACGCCTAGTCCTCAAAGTTGTAAATCTCCAATTGGTGATTGCTTTTGTGATGAAATGTGTGTAATTAATTCTGACTGTTGTGTAGATTTTAAGAATTTTCGTCAAGATACCAAACCAGTAGATTCTTCGACGATACCTAAATCTGACTGTGTTCACTCAGCTAGAACATTTTCGGATGTTGCTGATCTGGAGAAACATGGTAGTTGGTTTGAAGCTATTGCACATTGTCCACTAGGCACACCAAGTGAGATTGCGAACCGTTGCAGTAAATCAAGAGATTTGGTCATCAAGTTTGATGACGCTTCACTAAAGCACACATCGAATGTTAGTGCTGAAAACAGACATTTTATTTCGCTGGATTTAGCTTTTCTAACATTTCGTATACGAACTGAAGATGTTCGACTGATGGCACCAGTTGTTTCTAAGGTCAACGGACGAGTTTATGCTAATTTGGATTGTGCCATTTGCCATGATGAGTTAACTTCAACTGTTACATATGAAGAACCGACGGCATCTGTTTTATTACAACGTCTCGATTTATTCAATGTATTTGTGCACTGTCGAACATTTCATGATACCGACAGATTATGTGTGGCCAATTCAATGCTGCCAAGGAGTTGGAGACGTCCATGTGGAAAGAAAAGATTTCTCAAGCCACAAAGTACACAAGAGGTGTTCAGTTTGAGTGAGTTTAAATGGCATGAATTCTTAGTGTTGCCACAAAACTACATTGAATTCGATGGTTTTAGCAATGATGATTTGGTGAAGGGGAGTAAAACTCTTCGTACAATTGAATCTGTTTTAGATATACTTCAGTTGCTAGTGTGTATTCTATCTGCATTCAGTCTATGCGTGCTGCTAATTGTATATGGGAAGACGCGAGAGTTTCGACGTCGAGTTTCTAATCAGTTGTTGATGGGGCTAGCAACTTCCATGCTTGGTTTGTTGTTGGTCTATTTAACATTGCCATTGCTAATTAATCAAAGAGACAATTCGGGTAGTGGATGTTGTCTTACAGTTGCAGTTTTATTGCACTACTTTTTCCTTGCAACTTTTGCATGGATGTTAACACTTGGTTTGAGTCTGATTAACACCTTTGGAGGAATTCACACATGTCAAGTGTGCTTAGCATACATAAAGTTTAAAATAACGCGTCAAAGTACAGATGAAGATTCGCTAAAGAAGAAATACTCAGACACCATGAAAGTAAGTCGATGATGCAATATTTCTTTTTTGTTACCGTTCTATTTGATGTTGGATAGTTAAAACAGACAATTTACGTTACTTAGATATAATTTTTGGCTTTCAGTTCGGCATAGGATTGAAATACATTTTTATGTAAAAGTTGTTTCACTTCCGCTCTCACGTTTTTTAAGTAGTACTTAACATGAACAATTATAATAGTAAATTTTAATAAGACAGACTACATTATCATTAACACTAATATACTTCACAACGAATCATATGGTCAACAGAGAGTGATATCATTTTTTAATAAGGGATTCATACTTAAAGTATAAAGTGGACTAATACATGATTAATAGGATTGAAAATTCTACCATGAATATACATATAAAATTAACTACTGAACATACATATATGAATGATTGAAAAGTATTTGGTTGAGATCATGAATTAATTGATGTTAGACCACCGCTGGAAACCTGGAAGCACTGGACGGCCGTTTCGTCCTGATATGGGACTCCTCAGCAGTGCGCATCCACGATCCCGCACCACGCGGGGCTCGAACTCAGGACCTACCGGCTTCGCGCCTGAGCACTTAACCATTAGACCACTGAGCCGGCATCCAGTGGTGTTAGTGTCTAACATCAACCAATCCACGAAATTGCGCGACCACCTTCCATTGTACTGAGGTAGATACCTGTCTCTACCCGACACGGATTAGCTCCACTGGTCACGACTTCTCACTAGAACTCCGAGAATTCCCTCACGAAGCTAGTCACTAGTGAGCACATGTTAACTATCAGTATGGGGGTTGTGGAGATTGTTAAGTTTTTGGTTGAGGTTTCCAGCGGTGGTCTAACATCAATTAATTCATGATCTCAACCAAAAACTTAACAATCTCTACAACCCCCATACTGAAAAGTATTTGTTGTTTGATAGTTATTGAACCTTATTGTCATTTATTATACTTTGTGTTGAAGTTTATTCTATTATTTTTGTTTCTAGAGTATGGTGATTCGAAAGAATCTGAGAGACCAATCGACCACTATTCATAAGCGTACCATATTTTCAACGGTATTTGCAATCACCTTACCATTACTTTTTGTGATACCCGCACTTGTTCTTAATCAAGTTTACCAACCAGATTCATGTCAGCCACAGATGAACAGTGACAATTACACACATGATGTAACTTACGTTAGCAGGGAACAGGGAATCAATTGTTCTGAAACTTCAAGTCTAATGTCAAACTTCAATCCAGGTTTCTGTTTAATGAAATATCGAAAGCGACCATGGTTCACAGTGCATGCGGCTTTCATTCTGTGGTTTTTGGTACCTACTACAGCATTATTGGCAATGAATTCTATCATACTACTAATGGTTGGCATGTATATTTGGTTGTTAGACCATAAAAAAACACTGGAACCAATCAAAGACGAATCAGTGGCCAGTGTGGACTCAAAATCTAATCAGCTACCTAATAAAAGTAATCGCAATGTAGCCAAGATTTGCTTGCATTTATCGATCACTCTGGGTGCTGTATGGATATTCCAGCTGCTTGCAAGTATCCTACCTCAGCAAACCATTCTGAGTCGTGTTGCAGCTCTGGTTAGTAGTGGGCAAGGTGTCGCCTTGGGGTTCGTTTCTTTGATGAACTCCACAAAAACAAAGTTATTTCCAAATTGGTCTAGCGTATTCATTAGCAGGCGTTCAAGATCAGGAGAAAATGAGTCCAAAAGTGCATTATCATCAAGTCGAGTGAATACGAAGGTTGTATCTACATCTAATTCCACAATAGGATGATATGAATATGCTGCTTTAACTATTGAGAATTTGTTTGAGTTTCACTCTCTTAAGCAGAACTATCGAAATAATTATAACTTTCAAGTGATTTAATGATCACTGCCATTCTACTCAGTAGTTCAGTGTCTTTTCTCTTTGTCAGTGTTGCTTATTGCTCAACTACTATGTCAAAACCTTTTTATTTCGTTTAAATGGAATGTTCACTTTCTTATGATCAGCTATGTAATGTTATGTTTATAAGCTTTGTTTGTTTAGCTTTGTGCAAAAATCAACCTGTATAAACCTAATATATTATATGTTTGTTTATGTTTCCCAAATATCTGGTCTCTGACTTTACACACTTGAAATTTTATTGTCATTATTACATGGAAATGGAAAACGTAAAGTATAGTACAAATGTTTTAAGTACATATCATGGTTTTAGTGTTTCCAACTGAGAGAAACTTATTGAACTCAGTGGACAAAGGTTGAAATTGTTTACGCTTTCTTGAACGTGGTTGGTATAAAACAATCCGATGATTGGTGATTTAAGGTGAAAATGAGTCATTTTTGTCCGCAGTAATTCTTTTTTCGGTAGATTGTAGTGAGCTTCTATTCACCTCAATTGCTGAACGTAAAAGCATCTCTTAGTAGTGCGGAGGTCATCGGTCCCACATCCCGTGTTTACTTGATATTTTTGAATTGGATTGGAATATTTCCAGACTCCTAGTTTCTACTCCCATATTTAAATGCTTTGCATGTAAGTAGAAGCTGGTGAACAATTTTCCAACCAACACTATGGCTATACCATAAGTGTGAAGTTCAAACTTGTGACAAACCGCGCTTTGTCATCATGCTCATAACTGCGTGCATTTAAACAGTCTAGAGCAATAGAGATATCACCCTCAGTTGTGTTAAATGAACAAAATTCTAACTAATATTAATTCGAGTAAATGACTTAAACAAAATTTTATGAACTGAAATCATACACCTATCTCACTTATTGGAGGTAGGAAACTAAGTACAGCAACCCAATGCTGAAAACTGTTTCAGTTTAAAGTGAGGAAACTGTCTAAAAATTAATCTCAGAATGAAAACTCATGATTCGTTCAGGAGAATTTTGTCAAAATTTAGTGTACAAACCTATGGAATACCACAGGAAATATTGTTTTAATATGACTACTTTCAGTATAAAATTCTAATACGAAACTGAATAGATCTGTAGGGTATTACGCTCATATGAGCGTAATGAGCTTCTCGTTGTTCGAAAATGGGAGAATTTCGCCAAAATGCAGGCTTCCACTCGAGAACAACTGTTTTTTCTCCACGAGTATCTTCGCCAGCATGTTCTACTAACAAGTGTAAGATATAGACCTCCAATCAACTGCCCATTGGTATGGGAAATAGCTGAGCAAAGTGGAAGAAAAATGGTACACCTAATGATAACGGATGCACACTACTGGATCCGCAAATACCAACAAGCAAAAAAAAATATGTAGGGTAAATATACTTTGAAGCAATTAGTCCCTTTGATAAATTTCTATTGTGTAATAAGACGAAGATTACCAGAACTATGTGATGTATTAACGCAATACAATTTCGAACAATCTGATCACACGTAATAGAATTGTTAAGAACATTCATATATAAAAATAAAAGGTCAACTGGACTAGAAATGAAGGGTAAGAGGAGACAAGGATAATAAAGAAATAATATGAAAACCATTTGAAACCTCATCACTCTGGATAATAAGCTCTTATTACCAGGGTAGGTTTAAGGTGAGTGCAAACTGTTTATGAGTACACATAGGGGGTTTGAATTTTCGAAGATATACCTCTAAGTAGACTGAAAGATGCTTCATTTTTACAAAACCAACGTGGATACGTCAATACCTTAGTAATCATAGTTATTGCCCCGTGCAATACAAACGGGGTTTTATAAGGTGAATATTTAACAGGCTTGATCGCATTTGTACAAATGACGTCATTGATGATAATGTTAAGTTGCTAAATAAAACATTAATAGAAAATGGCTATCCTCTGAAATTCATAAACAGATGGATAGTCCATGGTACAGTGAGACCAACTGTAGCCTTGGCAGAAAAAATCCTGTCTACATCACCTTACCATTCAGAGGTGATTCAAATAGCCTTTTATTGAAACAAAGGCTTAAATCAGTCATCAACAAGACATACTGTGCAGCGGTCATTATCAAGGAAGCAACGAGGTTCATGTTTCATCGAAAACTTAAAAGACAAGAAAACAATTGTGTCACATCCCACTGTGTTTACCAATTTAAATGTATGTGGTCACACATACATAGGGAGGAGTAATCGTGATCTCAAAGTTAGGGTATGTGAACATGTACCTAAACAAATAGAATCAAGTGACCCAATAAGAGTAGAGGATAAACATCCATCATCCTGTATTGCCAAACACATAAGATTGATCTTAACTCGACTTTTGTTGTGTTGTACAAAAGTGTAAAAGGGTGTATACTAAGGTTTATTGAAGCCTTAGCCATACGAAAATTCAAACCCCCTCTGTGTAAATCTATTTCAATCAAAAAATGATTCCTATTATATTACTTACAAAAAAATGTTCTGATTTACCCACAGTTGGATTTATTGAAATGAAAATATACTCAGTGATTGAAGCGACAATCATTGGAAATATAATTTCATTCTAGTTCTACTATGAATATGATAAATTATGTAGGATTTCAATTCACTCATCAATTTACCGCATTTGGACATTCCACGATAACTCACTTGTGATCATTCACTAAGATTTGAAAAAAATTAACATGAACCATAGATACTTACATTATTGTTACTGTTAAATTGATAATGAAGAAAAATGGAACTATTTTTATTCAGTGTTCATTTCCAAAGAGGTGAAATTCAATATTTGATGTCTTGTTTATATTTGGAGTATACGTACTCATCTCTGTCGGTATGAGATTCATTTTCATTATAATCATCATTTCAAGGAGTTTATAATGAGTGGATAAATCTATCAATTTTCTAAATTCAATTTCTGTATGCACTATAATTCACACATCAATGATTACAATAGAAGTTTATGAATAAAATAATGTGACTGATTCATTATTGACTGCTTTTTTCTATTCAAATTACCTTAATATGTTGTGGCCGTGAACTATATTTCGGACGTTTTAACATACAGATAACTAAAGCAAAATTTGTAAGTATAAGGCTGTGGATATTGTTGAATTTAATTGAAGTGAAAAACCGTGATCCGTAGACTTAACTCGTGTTGGGTATGAGGAAGTTGTCGACTGAAGACAATGAAAGATGATCGCACAATGTCGTCAATTGACTGACGTTAGACATTAACACATCTGGATTCAAGCTCGATGGTCCAAAGGCCAATCACTTGAGTGCGAGACTGAAGGTCTTGGGTTTGATTCCCATGTGTGAGGTTGTAAATACACAGTGCCGAGTAGTCTCATACTAAGAAAAAAAGGCCATCTAGAACTTCCAGGTTTTCAATGTTGATCTAACTTAGATGGATTCAGGTCTTTACATGTAGTGCTACAATGTTTAAGACTTCACATAAATATCCTCATCAAATTTCACTGGATTGAAAGTAATTACTTTTGTGAAGTCTCCGCCGGTAATATATCGATTTCCTACATTGTTTTATATTTGAGGTACGGTAAGTAGGTAAGACGCAATTTTCAAAAGTCCTCCGACAAACTGACTGTCAAGATAAATTGCATTGAAACAAATGAAAAATGAAGGAGAATTTCAAATTTTCTAGAGTTACACTCATTTTATTTATTTGTACTTAATGACTTTTTCTTGAAATCATAATATTTATTTAGGATGTATGGGGTTGTGGAGATTTCTGAATTTCATTGAAATCATACTAAACAACTCTATAATTTATTAATGTAAGGTAATTCGGAGTGAATATCAGTTCTGAGATGCAGGTACATCCAACTGACTAGTCCCAAATAGGACGAAACGCGCATCCTGAATTCCACTGTTAGCCCTCATCCATCTTTGCTTATAATTCAGACAGAGTTGGCATTCAAGTGGATGTTTTCAGTAATTACTTAGAAAACAAATAAAACTTGTTATTGATCTAGAAATTAATGTTAAAACAAACTGATCGGAAAGTTTATTCACATGGCTTTGATTTACCAGACAAACTGAACTGTAAAGTTTGTTGTTTACATTAAAAAATCGGAAAAAATTCTTACCAATTCAATGAATGAAAAAAACCCATTTCATTTCATTGGAAAAGTTCTTTGACAAAAGTCGTCAAGTGTTTTGAATTTTAGTTTTTAACAGAGATCCATGATCTCAAAGTAAGTATCCAGTGTATTGTTCCACTTTTTTTATAATTACCTAATCATAACCAGTCGAACATTTTAATAAATGTATTTTTAGCAGTGATATGAATTTTGCCGTGATGAATTGTGAGTTGATAATGATTGACAAAAATGTGAGTATATGAATACTATCACGATCAAACATTTTTTTCTGATTGAACCGTATTAGGTAATAATGTAATAGTGTTACAGAAACTAAACCTAAGCTTACTAAATAAATACTCACTAGTTGAATGTTGCTAAAAATAAGGTATTAAAACTGTCTAACTGTATATGATATCTTATATTCAAGCATACTAAAATTGTCTAATCATTCACTGTTAGATAATTATTCATTTATTATTAATCCTAAGGACTAAATCATATGTATTGTAAGCCATAATTACTTACTTACTTACGCCTGTTACTCCTCGTGAAGGAGCATTCGACATCCAAACCTGTCCTGGACAATCCCTTCTAGCTCCTTCCAGTTGTTATTCATCCTTTCCATATCTGTTTCTATTTCTCGACGCAATGTGTTCTTTGGCCTTCCTCTTTTCCGCTTCCCTTCAGGATTCCAAGTTAGAGCTTGCCTCGTGATGCAGTTTGACGATTTGCGTAATGTATGTCCTATCCATTTCCATCGTCTTTTCCTAATTCCCTCTTCAGCTAAAAGCTGGTTTGTTCTATCCCACAAAAGGCTGTTGCTGATGGTATCTGGCCAATGGATGTTGAGTATCTTGCGTAGACAGCTATTTATAAATACTTGCACCTTCTTGACGGTGGTTGTTGTAGTTCTCCAAGTTTCAGCTCCATACAGTAGAACTGCCTTGACGTTCGTATTGAAGATTCTCACTCTGATATTGGTTGAAAGTTGTTTTGAGTTCCATATGTTCTTCAATTGTAGGAATGTGGTCCTTGCTTTGCCATTCCTCGCCTTCACGTCTGCATCTGAACCTCCTTGTCCATCGACGATGCTTCCTAGGTATGTGAAGGATTCTACATCTTCCAGAGTTTCGCCATCAAGAGTGATTGGATTGCTGTTCTCCGCTTTGAATTTGAGGACCTTGGTTTTCCCCTTGTGTATGT